TTCATTTGGTTTGGTCTGCCGGCTTCCGTAGCGTCGTGATCGCGCAAGTGCGCGCTTTCAGGAAATCCTATACACTACTGTTTATGCTCTAAAAACATTCTAAATGACTTCGTTTCGAGTAAATTCTGGATGCTACCCACTCAGGACACTTGGAATACATTGGACAAGCAGTATGGAGGAATATTGAAACGTTTTTTGTGCACTTTTATGGACCTTTCTGCCTCGGGCGCTGGGCACCTCCATTATTTGAATGTCAGCAGACAGCAAGAAGCCTCCCAGATCTCCAGATGCATTTGAGATATCAAAAAAGTACTCCAGAGTGTTGTTCAGCATGGGGGTGAGTAGAAAATGAAGGCTAATCATGTTTTGGGCGAACTATTCCTTTAAAACAACTATTTTCATTCATTTCAGACGGAACTATTCACAGACTTGTATTATATTAAACTGAACTTCCAATATTCACCACCAAGTAACCTTTCCTCTGATCACGGAGCAGCCGGCTTGCTTGGTTCCATGGGAAAACCAAGGATACATCAGACCCGTCCTTCAAATCGGACAAAAAGAAGGACGCATTTTAAGGTCGCGTAATGAGGACTCTTGGAATCCGACTAGACCTCGGCGCCGCGCTATGATGTAATCGTCCTTCGAATCTGGCCTTCTAAGGAGGCATCCCGGGAACCAACCAAGATGGCAGTAGCGTAAGTCTTGTTTTTCTGCTTTGCAATTTTCTCTGGGTATAGGCTCTCAGTTCGGAACCTTTCTACTTTGTAAGTTCATCTTACTCTCAGGAAGATGCCTAAAACAGCCCAAAAAAGAACCAGTGACCACAATAAATTGGAAAAAACCTTCACCGGTGCTGCTGAAAAAGACCATGACTATGTCGACAGAGTTATGACTTTAAAGCACAGATTTAATGGAACTATTATTTCTACTGAATCTGATCCGTTGGGTCACTTTATTTGCCAACTATTTTTATTTAACAACCATCTTTTCATTTCTGCCAATATTTATGGTTACAATAATAAAGGAGAAAACAATAATCTGTTTCTCACGGTTGAAAAGATCTTTATAAAATGATTAAGAAAATCGCCAAATGCTACAATTCTCATGGCAGGAGATTTAAATACTGTCCTTGATGGTAACCTTGATAAATGGCCTCCTGGTCAACCAAATGCTTCAAGTCCTTCTATTAAAGTCTTTATGGATAAATTTAATCTAATTAATATTTGGAGAACTGGACATCCACATGACTACTTATTTACCTGGAATAATACATCTTTGTCTCGACCATCTAGGATTGACTTTTGGTTGATCTCAGATTCGGTAAACAAGGAAACTGTGACTGTTAATATCCTACCTACTCCACTTACAGACCACAAATTTATTGAAATAATTATTGAATTTTCAGATAAAAAGCATTCTTGTATTTCTCCCTCATATTGGAAATTAAATAATTCTTTACTAAATTACGATGAGGTCACTATAAAAATTAAATAATTATTACAGTTCTTCTAGCATAAAGCTCAGACAGATAATCATTATGGGCTTAATTGGGAACTTTTTAAATTTGAATCTGGTAAGTTTTTAAGAAAGTTTGGTAGTAACATGACCAAAGTAAAAAGAGCTGAGGAAACTAAAATTATATCAAGAATATTTGAGCAAACTCAGTTAAATCATTCTAATTTAAATGACTCTGAACAACAAAAATTGAGGGAGAACAAAACACTCATTACTTTTTTAACTTAGAAAAACATAATTCGGTCAATAATTCTCTTACCAGACTAAAGATTAATAATGTTATTAGAGATGACCTTGGTGACATAGCTAGATATTGTAGTTCCTTTTATGAAACTCTTTATCTTTCCAACTTCTGTCAAGCTTCAGCTGACGCTCTGATGTCCAATTTAACAGTCAAACAAATCTCTAACAGTGAGCGGGAACGCTGTGATGAGCCAATCTATTTGCAAGAGATTCTGGATGCCATCTCACATCTCAAAACAAACAAATCTCCTTTCTGTTGCAGGTTTTTATAGAAAGCGGTTCCCTCCCTGCTACACTCGCTCAGGGTTTTACCACTCTCATACCAAAACCCAAAAAAAGATCCTTTACTACTAGATAACTGGCGTCCCATTTGTCTTCTTAACAATGATTATAAGATATTTGCTTTAGTTGTTGCTAAAAGATCAAAATTTGTCCTACACTCAATTATTGACGAAACTCAATCTGGTTTTATGAAAAATAGGCATATTGAAAATAATATAAGATTTGTCTTGGATATTTTAGATTATCCTGAGCTTGTTCATGATAATGGTTTTATCTTATTTTTAGACATTTATAAGGCCTTTGATATGGTTGAACACAAATGTATTTTTCAAAGTCTAGACAAGTTTGGATTTGGGAATTTCTTTACTTCTGTCATTAAAACCTTGTACCAAAACGGTAACAGCTCATTGAAGCTAAGAAATGGTTCCTCTCCAAGATTTGGCCTCTGTAGAGGGATCAGACAGGGGTGTCCCGTCTCCCCCTATCTGTTCCTTTTGGTAGCTCAACTTCTGGCTGATTATATTAAATCTGGTCCTTTAAAAGGAATCACTCTTGCTGACAAAGTGGTTACTTTAACACAACTGGCAGATGATACTACTTTATTTCTAAAGGATGAGAACCAAATTTCTTTAGCTATTAAGGAAATTAGTACTTTTTCTAAAGCCTATGGTCTTTCTCTTAATCTTAAAAAATGTGAATTAATGGCCATCAAGAACTGCTCTTTATCCTCAATTGAAGGTATACCAACTAGAAAGGAGGTAGTTTATTTAGGAATAAATATCACAAAAGAGAAAAAAAAAAAAAAGAAACTCCCTAAACTTTGACCCGCTAATTGAAAAAATAAAAAAAAGACTAAACCAGTGGTTGGTTAGAGATCTTTCTCTGCGTGGTCGTATTCTGCTAACGAAGGCTGAAGGCCTCTCCAGAATCATTTATGCTGCTCAGTTGTTAAACATTGACAATACAAGGGAGAAAGAAATTGACAAACTGCTATTTAACTTTGTGTGGAAAAATAAGACTCACTATATATAAAAAATCTACTATAATGAATTCATATGACAATGGAGGACTAAATAGTTTATCATTCTCTGTTTTGAATAAGACTTTTAAAATAAATAAAAAATGGATTCGGCAATTTTTTAATTCTTCAGCGTCTTTCTGGAATATTATACCTTTCCATATTTTCTCTAAATTTGGTGGTCTGAATTTCTTTTTAGTTTGTAACTATGATGTACAGAAACTCCCAATCAGACTAACTTTCATCGCCAGGCCTTTTTATCATGGTTACTCATCTATAAACACAACTTCTCTCCTCACCGGAATAATAAGGACATTTTATATAAGAAGAAAACAATTTTTTTTAAATTCTTGGTTTACTCACAATATTTTTCTGGTTGACCAATTGTTTAACAATGATGGTTTGTTGCTGAGTTATGAAGGATTTCTCTCTAAATAAATTTTTCCTGCCTCTCCTGGAATATATGCCAAAGTTTTTGGTGCTATTTCATCTGAAATTTGTATTTTATTCAAACAGAAACCAAGAATCAGTTATTCTCCCATTTTGACTCCCATACATTTTCCTGTTGGCAAAATCTGTCTTAACCCTGTTCCTTGAAAAAATAATAAATTAATTAGATCCCTGTTTCAAAAGAAAGAGACCTCTGTTCCTGTGGTTGTTGCATACTGGGATCGTTTTAATATTAACATGTCCTGGAAATTTATCTGGCTGCTCCCGAATCACTTTCTTCTCACTAACAAGGTTAAAGAAGTATCGTTTAAACTCATACACAGAATCTACCCCGTTAAAGTCGATTTAAAGATCTTCAACTCTGATATTGATGTTAGGTGTTCCTTCTGTGACACTTGCCCAGAGTCGGTCACTCATCTGTTCTGGTTTTGTCATCATTCCAAAGTATTTTGGCAACACTTTTGTACTTTTGTGTAAAAATATCAATAGGATTTCAGTTATATTGGGTAAATGTTCTGTTTAGTTTTCAACAAAATGAAAGAATGAATGCGAAGAGTTTTCTTATCAATTTATTAATTAAGGCTAAATTTCATCTTCATAAATGCAAATTTTTGAGAAAAAAACCTGACTTTACAGATTTTTTTTTTATTGAATTTAAACATTATATATTTACAATTCGACCTTCAACAAGTAAAAAGCAAAAACAACTTAATTGGCTTGCAATCAAACTGGAATTTTAGATAATTTATTGTGTTGATTCACTGTGGCATCTGGTATTTTTGTCACCTTTGGTACTGTTTTTCTTTAAACAAGATTATTTTGTCATTTCTTATTATACTTATGTTTTCTGTTAATGCTGCCCCTGACAAATGTTTTTGTTGTTTTGTGATACGTACACAATGCAGTTTTGTATTGTTGTGTATTGTAAATGATAAAGTTTATAAAAAAAAAAAAAAAGACGCATTCCAGGATTTCGAAAAAAGCGAATGTGTTAAAAAGACAGATAAACAGCACTACATCTAAAAAGGCGAGGAATAAGGTGAAGGAGAAGGTTGTCACTGCAGCACTTTGGATCAGCTGAAGGCTTTTAACTACAGTTTGTGGACTTCCTGATAGTAAAGAATTACAATAGTCCAGCCTTGAAGTAAAAAATGCATGGACTAGTTTCTCAGCACCAACCCTGGAGAGGAGATTTCCAGTTATTGCAATATTCTGCAGATGAAGGAAATTATAAAACCTCTTTGATATGGCATTTAAATAGCACACCGGTGTTTTACTTTATTATCTGAGACCATTTTAATTCCATCCAAATGAAGTGACTGACTAATCACCTCTTTCAAAGACTCTTGTCCAAAGACTATAACTTTTGTGCTGCTTGCTTGTGACCTGCACACTCAAACCCTTAAGTGTACTCCATCCATGCACTTAATGAACACACAATAAAATGTTAGAATGAATAGGGAGTTCATTTTTCACACCACAACAATACAATTGTATAAATATATTTATTTGCACATCACCAGTTAACATTATAGAAACTATTATGGAGGAGGGGAAAACTCAGTGAGCTTATAAGGAGCCTCCATTTGATGTCAACTAAAGGTTACACTATATTACAAAAGAAAACAAATAGCAGAAAAAATAAGCAGATGGGAAATATATAAATTAATACAATGTTACCAATGGAGATAAAAAGATGTGCATCTTTTTGAACACACATAATTTTAGCCAAAGCTGAAAATTAATATTTTAGTCTCCCTCTGAAACCTTAGAGTTGTTTTTGCTTTGCTATTTAGAAGCATGCAGTACTTTTCCACCTCTGTACTGAATTTGTCTGTACTCTGAAAGTGACGTATGTAGTCAGGTAAAGATCAAAAGCTGGCCTTGCTGAACAATGTTGGACCTGAGAGTTTGTTTAATAATTGCCCTGGAGATAAGCCGGAATTGATCAGGTTTTAAAACTGTCCTAATAAAACTACATGATGGATAAATAGTAAATACGCCTAATTTTGAGAGTTTCTGAATCAAATGTGGAAAAACAGTATGGACCCCCCCACATTGATATGAAGACAAAACCTTTCTATCCAGAAATAATGCTGAAAGATACCCCACTCAGACTATATTACAGCTGAAAAGATCTGGAAAAACTATAGTAAAGGGTAAGAAGGAACTAATCTTTGTCAGAATAAACCCTTGGACTCTAAAAAGAAGTCAGTTGTCAGAATAATGGTTATAATATAAACAATTTATTTCTGCCTCTAAAATGACAATATTTCAATCAAACTTAGACTATGTTACAAAAAACACACTATTAATTTTTACAGACTATTAAACAATATATACATTGGTCTAAAGTTGGCTAAAAACATATATACATGGTAGAAATGATTTCTAAATGGACCACTAATGAACAATCTAATCTGGTAGGGATTTTATCACCTACATTCAGGACAAAAAAGCGATTCAATATTTTGTCAATAGCAGATTATTATAGTCTGTGGGTAACATTTGTCTTTTGTTTGACCTTTTTTGCAATATTTCATCAATACCCTTCGAGGTATTTTTGGTACCAATCTCATATTACATTGATTCTTCAATGAAACTTAGCTTTTCTTTTTCATCTTTTTTTAAAATCTGCCTTTAAGACGAAACACTAGTTAAAAAGTATTAAATACAAGCCATCTCTGGATGTTCAATAAGCTTTATCTAACTCCAAACTTTCTCCTAGGATTGTTTGGAAATGTATTGGCATGTATTCTCATTTCGAGATGTTCTTATATAAACACACATACACATCCATTCTAAACAGATCCTTTGATGAACTTTAGAATTTCACAAAGAACCAATGACCAGCTGCTTCAGCTTTAAGTCCTTTGGCATTAATTCCACTCCAAGCAAACTGCAAACTGGAAGTTTTTTTGTTTGCCAGGACCGACGTTAATCTTGGGCTCATTTATTAAATGAACTTATCTGTAATCTACTGAATATTTCCTAACAATAAGGGATAAAATATAAGGGGGAGTTAAACCCAGGACTTTGTAAATGAGTGAAACAGTGTCAGAGTCTGTGGTTTAATGAAGACAGTGGTTAGAGCTCCTAGACCTGTGATAAAACAATGTTCCAGGATGAAAAGAATCTAACATAATTCCAATCGTCCAAAATGCACAGATAAGTGGTAGCGACAAGATGCTCCTATTAAATGTGAAAGGAACCTTTTCCATTTGTCTAAGAAGTAAAGGGTTTCTCATCTGTGTGGGTTTTCATGTGAACCTTTAAATTACTACTCTCAGAAAAACCTTTTTCACATATTTTACATGAAAACGGTTTCTCGCCTGTGTGGGTTTTGATGTGAGCCTGTAAACCATTATTCCGAGGAAAACTTTTTCCACATATCTTACATGAAAAGGGTTTCTCACCTGTGTGGGTTTTAATGTGAACATTTAAATTACTACTTCGAGAAAAACCTTTTCCACATATCTTACAAGAAAAAGGTTTCTCACCTGTGTGTGATTTGATGTGAACATTTAAAGTACGTTTAAGAAGGAAATGTTTTCCGCATGTCTCACATGTAAAATGGTGATCACCTGTGTGGGTTCTGATGTGATCATTTAAATGATCAGCTCTGTAGAAAGCTTTTCCACATATCTTGCATAAAAAAGTTCTCTCACCTGTGTGGGTTTTGATGTGAACATTTAAATGATTATTCTGAGAAAAACCTTTTCCACATATCTTACATAAAAATGGTTTCTCACCTGTGTGAGTTCTGATGTGAACCTTCAAATGACTATTCTGAGTGAAACATTTTCCACATGTCTTACATGAAAAAGGTTTCTCACCGGTATGAGTTCTGATGTGATAATTTAAACAACTATTATGAGAGAAACGTTTCCCGCATAGCTTACATAAAAAACAGTGTTCACCTGTGTGGCTTTTATAATGATCACTGTTCTTCAATACAGGAGGCCTATGAAAGGAAGGCTGCTCAGTTCTTTGTTTTCTTTCACTTGACTCTAGTTCCTGTAAAGTAACAGTCTCCATCAAAGTGATCGACTGGGTGTTGACAGTCTTCTCATCCTCCTGACTGCTGCTTAGGTCCTTCTGGTTCCTTTGAGGAGGCAAATATTCTTGTTGCCCCTGCTCATAAATATATACTGAAGAATTTTGTTCCTGCTGTAATATATTCAGTATGGATGCTGGTTCCTCATCATCTTCTTCATTCCATGGAGGTCCAGGTTCATCCCGTTTTTCATTTAGTAGCCATTCTGGTTCTTTTGGATCCTCTCTAGCCCATTTAGATTCGGTTATCTCATTTTCTTCTTTGATCGGTACAGGTTCTGGAGATTCTTCTTCCTCTTTAATCAGAGGTCTTGGTTCATCCTCTCCTTTCCAATGAGGTCCTGCTTCCTCCTGGTCATGACTGAACATCTTCCACTGGTTACAAGGCTGTTGGATGGCCAAAGCTTCCTTCTCATTTGAGGAATGGGATTTTTTTAGATCTGAGGGCAGAAAAAATATCAACAATTGGCAATTGATTATGGTATTAAAGGGATAGTTCGGTATTTTTGACATGAATCTGTATGGCATCCCGATCACCAGCGGCATGCAATCACACTGACTTACCCCTGGCAGCGTCCTGTGAGCAGAGTTATCGTCCAGTTTTGGTCAAGCCGAAAGTAGTCCTGCAGGTTTTTAGGAACAGCGAAATAAAACTTTTCTCTTCCCAAAACATTATGTGTCCAAAAGAGTGATATTTTCGCATCCCAAAAACATTGTAGTGGAAAAAGTCACACGTCGTTATCAATTGGTCCTATTTTCTCTCTGTTCGTATCAGTGCGCGCCGTCATTCAGACAGCGAGCCCAACAACAGCCATGTCTCCCTCCGCCGCGGAAGGAGACATGGCTGGACGATAACTCTGCTCACAGGACGCTGCCAGGGGTAAGTCAGTGTGATTGCATGCCGCTTGTGATCGGGATGCCATACAGATTCATGTCAAAAATACCGAACTATCCCTTTAAGCTCAAAACAACATGTTGCTGAATGTTCTCAGTCATCCAGAACACAAAAACTAAACAACAGAACTTCAATTATTTTCGTTTGAAAACTCCTCCGTGTCTGAAGACCTTCCTTATTTTAGAATTTTTGATGGAGAAAATCAAAGGTTTAAGGCTAAAAGAAACTGGTTTTGGCAGAAAAACTGGATTGAATGGCATCTTTAGCTAAGGGCTATATTTCCATATCCAGTATATTTTGAACTCCTTGGTTTCCTATCTTTCATTACTAGACAAACTGATGCAGGTACTAGACAAACAGGTGCGTCTGACTTCAGTAACTGACGGCATTGGCCAGACATACCTGGATTAATCGGTCTGACAGTCAGGAAATAAAGGAGCTGGCTGAAGTTCAGGAAGTAGTGGAGTTGGTAATTAGCCCATTAGGGCTGTTAGGGCCGGGATGAGATACTCCAGCCTTTGAAGACTGGTCTGATAGTTTCAGGTATGTTCCTGCCTCATGAGACCTAAATCAATTAATTAGATGACTACCAAAACTTTGGAGAAGCAGCCCACTGAGGGTGTAATATAGCTAATTTATTCAGGTGTGCTAGACCAATGAGACATTTATACTCATAAACATGACAATTTGAGGTGCGTCCTTGGACCGAGAGTTCAAATGCTAATACCATGTAGAATGGGGCTAGGTTTAAAACTTGTTCTGCATCTCTCTCAGAGCAGTTGTGTGAAAGCTTTTAGAATAGACAATTTTTAATATTTAGTTTACTTTTTAAAAGTTCTGTATTACAGACTTAACACAAACAGAACACATTTTTGTGCTAGTGCTTTACCTATATGGTAGATCGGTAGGAATTTACATTAGCAGAGGTAACTTGAGGCTACTGACTTTTATTAGTTTCATTTTAAAAAAAACTTGTCACTTCTATGCCCCAGCAGCTCCAAAAAAAATAAATAAATTTTAGATATATTTGTGTTGTATGTTGCATGAAGATATGGATATTTGAAATGTCATTTGAAATGTTTTTTTTTTTTTTTTTTTTTTTTGTGGTTTACTTGTGAACTTGTTGGGCCTTGGGTGCACCGGGTTCAGAGGTAACCCTGAAATTTTTTTTGCTGTATTGTCGGTTCAGCACTTTTGTCATTTTTAAAAATGACACTGCCTGGCCAAAAAAAAGTTGCCACCTTGATTCAACTAAGCAAATAGGTACGAGCCTCCTATAGGATAATTACTGCATGGGCGATTATCTTTTAGCTGGCAACAACTTATTTAACCCCAACTGGTGGAATGACTTGCTTCTCATTTCCTAAACAACCATGTTGAAAGACACATCCCGTGGTCGTGGAAAAGAAGTTAGTCTTTTTGAGAAGGGTCCAATCATTGGCATACATCGAGCAGAGAAAACATCTAAAGAGATTGCTGAAACTACTAAAATTGGGTTAAGAACTGTCCAACGCATTATTAAAAACTGGAAGGATGGTGGAGAGCCATCATCTTCAAGGAAGAAATGTGGCCGGAAAAAATCCTGAATGATCGTGATCGACGATCACGTGTGGTGAGATCAAATCGAAGAAGAACAACAGTAGAACTCAGGGCTATGTTTAATACTGAAAGTAAGAGCTTTTCCAAACGCACAATGCGAAGGGAACTCAAGGGATTGGGACCAAACAGCTGTGTAGCCGTAAGCAACCTACTAATCAGTCAGGCTAACCGGAAAAAAAAGGCTTAAATTTGCTAGGGAGCATAAAGAATGAACTGTGGAGCAATGGAAGAAGGTCATGAGGTCTGATGAATCCAGATTTACCCTGTTCCAGAGTGATGGGCGAATCAGGGTAAGAAGAGAGGCAGGTGAAGTGATGCACCCACCATGCCTAGTGCCTACTGTACAAGCCTGTGGGGGCGGTGTTATGATCTGGGGTTGCTGCAGTTGGTCAGGTCTAGGTTCAACAACAGTATGTGCTCAAAGAATGAGGTCAACTGACTACCTAAATATACTGAATGACCAGGTTATTCCATCAATGGACTTTTTCTTCCCTTATGGCACAGGCATATTCCAAGATGACAATGCCAGGAGTCATCGGGCTTAAATTGTGAAAGACTGGTTCAGGGAGCATGACTCATCATTTTCAGTCGTGGATTGGCCACCATAGAGTCCAGACCTCAACTCCATTGAGAATCTTTGGGATGGGCTAGAGAGGGCTTTGCGCAGTGGTCAGACTCTACCCTCATCAATGCAAGATCTTGGTGAAAAATGAATGCAACACTGGATGGAAATAAAGCTTTTGACATTGCAGAAGCTTATCGAAACCATGCCACAGCGAATGCGTGCCGTAATCAAAGCTAAAGGTGGTCCCACAAAGTATTAGAGTGAGTGACCTTTTTTTTGGTGGGGACTTTTTTTTTGGCCAGGCAGTGTATATTTACTCCAGTAAAACAATTTATTTTTCTTTTATAGTTTTTTGAGTCATCTATAAATAAAGATGCGAATATTATCCTACTTTACTTTTTTAAGTGATTAAAATGAATTTTAATGGACTTCAACATAAATTGATTTGAATAAACTCAGTTTAAACGTTATATAATATATCAGACATAAAATATGACAACAGGCCCACCTGCAGGCAGCTAAAGTACGGAAGACAAGGCCCCACCATGGAATTTTCCTGAGCTGAAGACCCCTTTCCTCACAGAGGAAAAAATCATTTTCCGAACTCATATAAGCAACAACTTATGTTGTTAAAAGTCAGATTTAGCCAGAATTGCAATGTATACATTTGCAATTTGCAAGAGCATAGCTCAAAATTTTTTTTCTACTTTTCCCATCGCTGACTTCAATTTCACACGTGCTCTTACAGACAGCAACTCTTTAAGTTACCGTATTTTCACGACTATAAGGCACACATAAACGTCTTTTTTTTGCCTCAAAATGTGCGGTGCGCCCTTTGGTGCGGTGCGCCCTATTTGTGTTGTAACTGCAACTTTTGAGACCACCTAATGGAGGAGATGATGAAAGAGTGGCTGAATGAAGGGAGACCAGATGGTTTTTTTCCACTCATCACCATCGCTCTTAATCTGTGACTCCATGCGTGCCCATCTCACAGCTGATGTGAAAAACATGGTGAAACAAATGAATGCTGTGCTTGCTGTTATTCAACCGCTTGACATCGGTGTGAACCGGACGCAGTAGAAGCAGCGAGTTTACATGCAAAGTCAATGGTTGACGCGCGTATAGGCGCAGCAAAAGGTCCAGCAGAGCGTTTTGAGCAGCAGGCGCAGCGCGTCGGGAGCGTTTACGCGCCGCCAACGTGCTGCTGCTGCTCGAGATGGAAAAATTGAAGTTTTGCTGCTGGAAGCGCCACATCAACCAATCAGAGAAGCTGATCTGGGAGCTGGCCGAGAGACAGACACATCGCTCTGATGACATATGATATTAAGGCAAATGAAAAGGGCTGGATGGATGAGGAGATGATGAAAGCGTGGCTGAGGCAGGTGTATGTGAGGAGACCAGGTGTTTTTTTTCCACGCATCACCATCGCTGTTAATCTGTGACTCCATGCGTGCCCATCTCACAGCCGATGTGAAAAAAAAAGGTGAATCAAATGAACGCTGTCCTCGCTGTTATCTCGGGGGTCTGACAAAGGAACTTCAACCGCTCGACGTCGGTCTGAACCAGCCGTTCAAAGTAAGGCTGCGAGCAGCGTGGGAGCGATGGATGACAGACGGAGACCACAGTTTCACGAAAAGTGGAAGGCAGCGCCGGGCACAGGGCCACAGTTTGTGGATGGATTGTAGATGCTTGGGCTAACGTGTCTGCTGGCTCTGTTGTTCGAGCTTTCGCAAAAGCCGGCATTATTTCTGAGGAGCCGCCCGGCACGGAAAGTGACTCTGACAGCGAAGAAGGGGAAATTGGCATGTCTGATTTAGCGCAGCTGTTTAATTCAGAAACAGAGGATGATGACTTTGATGGGTTTGATTAATACTTTGTAATAAATACATGAATAAAGCTCAATCATACTCAGTTTTGCTCCCGCTCTATTTTTCTACCTGAAAACTTAATTCAACAGCAGCCTCTGGGCCGGGTCTCCTCAGGTTTCACCGCGGCGGCTGGCAGGTGTTTTTTCATCTAAATAATCTAAATCTTGCAGCTATATTTGCTGTGATCAGTGGGAATAAAGTGGTTTTATTATGTTTTTAAGTAAGAAAGTCCACCTGAAAACTTAATAATGGCAGTCAGTTCATCCGGATTATACTATTTCTGTCGGAGGCGCTCAGACCCCCACATACCAGCGGTGCACCGACAGTAGAAATCCCTTCAACTAGGCTGGGCAGCCTCCGGGTTCACCGCGGCGGCTGGCAGGTGTTTTTCATCTAAATAATTTAAACTGCAGGCACCAGGATACCGGTAATAAAAGCAAACATATTCTGCCGGCAGGTTTCAGGATTTTAAGTTAATTTAGGAGTGATCACAGCGCTCTGTCATCTGCGATGTGTCTGTCTCATGGCCAGCTCTCAGGTTTGATTAATACTTTGAAATAAATACATGAATAAAGCACAATCATACTCAGTTTTGCTCCCGCTCTATTTTTAAATACGCAGTAGAGGTATTTAAACGTAGTATAGGACATGTACCTTTATATAAAAAACGTGCCCTATAGTCCGGTGCGCCTTATGTGTGTGTTAAATACAGAAATGGCACACATAACTGGGACTGCGCCTTTTAGTACGGTGCGCCTTATGGTCGTGAAAATGCGGTAAGCCAAACACTTTTTAAAGGCTACCTGTGCAGTTTAGAATTTGCGTTTTCTTTGGGTGGTAATTTAATATTTTAAATATATAATGACTTATACAAAACAACAAAAAAAAAAAAAAAACAATCAGTGCTTTGATGACGTATTTGCTAGTCCTGTAACAAACACACATGACAGTACTGGCTAGGGCTGGGCGATATAGAAAAAAAGCTTATCGATAAAAAAAAATGCATATTGATCGATATCGATAATTATTGAAAAGATTTGAAACCATATTTTATGTCCAGCTCTGCCTGAACTTTTTATAATATTGCTAAATGATTTAATTTTAATAAAAAACACAAATACAGACTTCGAATTAAATCTTTATTTAACCAACTTTTTTAACCATAACAGAATTGTTTTAAAGAAAAAAAGAGATCTGAGTTATGTTATTAAATACTGACAAAGAATAAACTAAAGTGACCAGAAAAGTGACCAAAATAAATATAACAAATAAATAAATACCCACCCCGCCTCTGGCCCATTGACTGCTGGAGATAGGCACCAGCACCCCTCGCGACACCAATTGGGACAAGCGTGTAAGATAATGGATGGATGGATAAGTACCCCCCCACCGCCGCCCCCGTTTCCTGCTTTAACCTGAGTTATTACTTTGAAGTTGCTGGCCCCTTAGCATTTTTATCTCAATTGTTAGAACTACGTGGGAAACTGCCCAGAACTGAAAATATATATATATTTTCCGAAGATTCCTCGGAGGAGAGCCGCGCCGAGGCCTACACAGCTCGTACTCCTGCGGCTGTGAGCGGCTGAGATGATAAAAAAAAAAAAAAAAAGTTGGTTTCGTTATCAGACTGGTTTTCACTGGTTCCCGACACATTTTACAGATGACTGTGGTTTGTTTTTGGTCCGACTTGCCATGACCGAAATACTGCCAGACTGCCGAACTACAAAAACCTTTCTTTGGAACAATTTCCTCCGCCTCTCCTTGCTGCATCTTCATGTGCTCTGTGTTGTGGTTTGAGAGGGCGGCGCTTAGTGACGTCGTGCCTGGGTCCGCGATTGTGATTGGTTGGGAGGAAGCAGTGACTAGCATAAACCTACATGCTAGGCTACAATGAGAAGGAAGGAAAACTGCGTTTCTTTTTTATCGAACTTTTATCGACCCTCTTTTTTTCTATTGCGCCACACGTCTATCGATCGATATATATCGTTATTGAATTATCGCCCAGCCCTAGTACTGACAACACTTTTTTCCAGTCTTCCTCTGTCCAACGTCTGTGTTCTTTTTCCCATCTTAATCTTTTTCTTTTATTGGCCAGTCTCAGATATGGCTTTTTCTTTGCCACTCTGCCCTGAAGCCCAGAATCCCGCAGCCGCCTCTTCACTGTAAATGTTGACACTGGTGTTTTGCGGGTACTATTTAATGAAGATGCCAGTTGGGGACCTGTGAGACGTCTGTTTCTCAACCTTGACTCTAATGTACTTATCTTCTTGCTCAGTTGTGCAACGCAGCCTCCCACTTCTTTTTCTACTCTGGTTAGAGCCTGTTTGTGCTGTCCTCTGAAGGGAGTAGTACAGACCGCTGTAGGAAATCTTCAATTTCTTAGCAATTTCTCGCATGGAATAGCCTATATTTCTAAGAACAAGAATAGACTGTCGAGTTTCAGATGAAAGTTCTCTTTTTCTGGCCATTTTGAGCGTTTAATTGACCCCACAAATGTGATGCTCCAGAAACTCAATCTGCTCAAAGGAAGGTCAGTTTTGTAGCTTCTGTAACGAGCTTAACTGTTTTCAGATGTGTGAACATGATTGCACAAGGGTTTTCTAATCATCAATTAGTCTTCTGAACCAATGAGCAAACACATTGTACCATTAGAACACTGGAGTGATAGTTGCTGGAAATGGGCCTCTATACACCTATGTAGATAATGCACCAAAAACCAGACATTTGCAGCTAGAATAGTCATTTACCACATTAGCAATGTATAGAGTGTATTTCTTTAAAGTTAAGACTAGTTTAAAGCTATCTTCATTGAAAAGTACAGTGCTTTTCCTTCAAAAATAAGGACATTTCAATGTGACTCCAAACTTTGTAACGGTAGTGTGACTTAAATTTGTGGTCTCAACGTGACATATCAATTTTTGGTCGAACTTTCCTTACAAAAATGAAATGTCTCTCAAGATTTATCTATCCAGCTTACTCCATATCCCTTCTTAAACCTGCAATTAAAGCTATAAATCAAATTAACTTCAACTTTATCTGGAAAAACAAGACGCACTACATTAGGAAAGGAGCAATGGTTAAAGAGTAGTATCATGGAGGTCTGAAACCAATAGATTTTGAATGTTTAGAGAGCATGATTAAAATGAATTGCCTCAAATCTTTTCTGAAAAATGAAAATAGTTTTTGGTTTCATATCCCCTCCAAAATATTTATAGAATTAGGAGGAATTAACCTCCTTCTTAAATGTGATTTTGATCCTAAGAAACTTCCTATTAAACTTTCTTCTTTTCATCAATGCATCTTACTTTATTGGAAACTAATATTTAAGCATAATTTTACTCCTCATAACACCCACTATGGAACTCCCGATAAGTCCTATTCAGGAACAAGTCTTTATTTTACAAGAGCTGGCTAGAAAGTGGTATATGGTCGATAATGCACATTCTTGATGACAAGGGAATTTCTTTTACCTTTCGAAACTCTTTGATCTAAATTCAAACTAAATAACAGAAAACAAGATAATATATTAATCAAAGTCCTTCCTCAGCCTCTGATCATAATGTCATACAACCTACTCCTAAACCATGTCCAGGTAAAACTTCCCTCTCTGTTACTCAGTCTGTTATTGATAAAAAGCTAACCAACAATGTCATACGTAGTTTGTTTGTCAAGGAATTTCACCCCGATTCATCCCACAGAAACCTAATCTCCAAGCATTTTCCAAAGGAGAAAGTGGTAAAATTGTGGAGTAAATATCTACAGTTTCCTGTTGCTCCTAAGGTTAAAGAAGTCCATTTCAAAATAATCACTGACATTTAACCTTCCAGGGAATTTCTGAGGCTCCGTTTTACTTTTGAAGAAAATGATGCACCTTCTGTGAATGTGAAATTGAGACTGTTGGTCACCTCTCTTTTGACTGTATGTGAAAGTTTTCTGGGAAGATTTCTGCTTCTAGTGTTCATCTAAATTTGATTCTCCTTCTCATCTGGACAAAGAGAATGTTTTGTGTGGAATACAAATGACAGACCTGCAGGACCTGGCCTTTAATGTTTTACTCATGATGTGGACATTTTTCATTCACGAAAAAAATACATGGGGACCAAGCCAAACTTCAAAATTTTGGTATAAAATTATACAATTTTGTAAATGACCGTAAACTCATCGTAAACCCCTAGCTATTATTTTATTTATTTGTTTATTTCATTTATTTATTTTTTTTTATTTTTTTTTTAACTTCTATGTCTTGTCCTTCTTAAAGTTATTCTTTCACCTAAAATTGCCCAACGTTTCACCAACTGTTGTATATCTACGCTTGATGTTTGATTACTTCTGTAATGTTAAATGGAATTGCCAATGAAGCATTAAAAACGTAAATAATGTCAATGAGCATTTATAGTAATGCTGTGAGCGGGTAGACTGTGGTAAAATGGTCGCCACGTACGGACGTACGACTCCATTGGCTAACAGCGCGGTGGTCGTTTAATGAATAAATAAAGGCTGAACTCAGATGGACGAAACACTGATCTGAGCGGAACCTCTGAGACTGAAGTCTGTTAGTAAATCTGAGAGTTCAGCAACTGTTCAAACATATTTATCAGACACTTTCTGTAGCTTCTTACCGATTCTGTGGAGTTTTATCTGCGGGTTCCAGTAGGTTTTCATCAGTCTGATGTCTTCCTCGTAGCGGACGATGGTTTTATCAACCTCTGTGAAGATTTCTTCGGCAGCAGCAGTTAGTCGCTCTCTGATAAACTCCCTCAGACGCTGAACTGAAGACATTTTTACTGAAACAAATGAAAATATTTAACTAATGAAGGAAAAACTCCAGGCTGCCTCCACTCCACCTGACTGTTGCCTGTTGGTTTACTTCCTCTACTTCTTCTTCATCTACTTATTGAGTTTTATTGGCGGTTGGCAAAAAATGTTAGGTGAGCATTACCGCCACCAACTGGTATGGAGTGTGGACCACATGGCAGAGGGAAAAAAACAAAAACAACTATATCCTATTATACAACCTAATCTGTTTCAAAAATTCAAATATAACCCGATATCCTCTGCTTCCTGATTCCATCTGCAATAAATCGACAATGTCAAGTTTAATTTTCATGTCACTAAGTTTCCTTATTAACCTGTGTCTCTGTATCGAATATTTACTACAATTCAAAATGACATGTTCCATAGTCTCATCTTCCCCACAGTCAGATTTCCCTGTCTGATGCTTCCCTATAAAAAATAACCATCTATTCAATCCAGTGTGTCCTATTCTAAGTCGAGAAATAATCATCTCTTCTCTCCTGTTCCTTTCTGATCTTCTCATTGGTCCAATTCTCTTTTGTATTTTATAAAGCCACCTTCCTTTCTTTTCTTCATTCCATAACTTTTGCCACCTCTCTTTTGCTTTTTGTTTAATTATACTTTTTATTTCTATTATACCAAAACTAACATTAATATCTACCCTTAACTTATTGGTACTCTCCTTAGCAATCCTGTCTGCCATTTCATTTCCTTTTATCTCCTTATGTGCCAGAACCCAAACAAAATTTACTACTAGCCCCATTATATTTATTCTGTAAAGTGTTTGTAGTATTTCAATTAATATATTTGGTCTACTGTCTGACTGATTATTTTGCAAACTGACTAATGATGAACTAGAATCTGAGCTAATAATAGATTTTATTGGTCTTACCTCTTCCACCCATTGAACTGCTAAAAGCAAAGCTAGCATTTCACCGGTATATACTGAAACTCCATCACTAATCCTTTTTCCAACCTTAATATGAAACTGTGGTATAATAAATGCAATCCCTACCCTATTAGCTGTATTTTTTGATGCATCTGTATATATTTGTATATAATTATAATATTTATTTAAGTGTTCTTGGACTATATTTATTCATAATTTGATATTTATCTTTTTCCTTATTTTCTAATAATGAAAGATCAACTTTAGCATCAGGAAGTATCCAAGATGGTATTGCTGTTAATGGAACTGTCTGACATATTTCTACCTGATTTAAATTAATTTCATCAACTTTAGTGTTTATTACCCATCCAAAGCTCTTTAATTGTTTCTTTTCCTTTTCCCATCAAGGTTTAAGCACCTCTAATGTTGGATGATCCTTCCTTTGCCCCTGTAAATTTGACCAGTAAAGATAATTGATCTCTTCTAACTTTAAGAAGCATTTCTCCCATTTCAACCTGTAATGCTGCTGTTGAAGATGTTTTAAAAGCTCCAGTACATATTCTTAAAGCCTGATGTTGAATGCTATTTAACTTATGGAGGGTTGTATCTGCTGCTGAGTTATAAACTATACATCCATAGTCAAGTACTGACCTGATTAACCCAGTATAAATCGCTTTAAATGATTTTCTATCAGCTCCCCACTGTGTTCCAACTAAACCTCTCATTATATTTATTACCTCCCTACATTTATTGATTATTTCCTTAATGTGCACACCCCATGTCATTCTTTCATCAAACCACATCCCACAAAATTGAAATTGTTTAACTCTTTCCAAATCCTACCATATAATTTTAAGTTAATTTTTTCATCAACTCTTTCCCTTGTAAAAACATTATTTTAGTTTTCTCTACTGAAAATTTAAAACCCCATTTATATGACCATTTTTCTACAACTGAAATTGCTTCCTGAAGTTTCTTTACAATAAATTCTAAATGTCTTCCTCTTTTCCACATTGCTCCATCATCTGCAAAAAATGAGAATCCCATTCCACCCTCTATTTCTTTAAACATATCATTAACTATCACTGAAAACAATAACGGACTTATTATACTTCCCTGTGGTGTCCCATTTTCTATTTTCTAACTCTCAGAATAATTCTTCCCTATCCTCACTTGTATTCGTCTTTCTTCTAGAAAATTTTTAATCCATCTAAACATATGACCATTCATACCCATTCTTCTAATTTTTATTAATAACCCTTCCCTCCACATCATATCATATGCTCTCTCAATGTCAAAAAATACTGCCACAACACTTTCTTTATTCACCTGTGCCTTTCTAATTTCATGCTCTAAACACAAAACTGGATCCATTGTACGTCTACCTCTTCTAAAACCACTCTGATAAGATGATATAAGTCCCTTATTTTCAATATAATATATTCATCTTTCATTTATCATTCTCTCCATTATTTGACATAAGTTGGATGTTAAAGCTAATGGCCGATAATTTCCTGGTTTTGACTCATCTTTCCCTGGTTTTCTGATCGGAACAATCACAGCCTCCTTCCAATTCTTTGGCACTTCCCCATCTTCCCATATCCTATTATACATTTCTAATAAAATATTTTTTAGAAGATTCACTTAAATTACTAATCATAACATAATAAATTTGATCTTTTCCTGGAGCTGATAATTTATATTTTTTAAAAGCCCTATTCAGTTCTGTTATTGTAAACAACATGTTCAACGGTTCATTTGTATCTTCTATTTGCTGTAATAAATAGGCTACTTGTTCTCCAAAATAGTCTTTTCTCTCCTTGTTTTCCCTTCTTCAGTAATATTTTCAGAACTATGAATTTTAACAAAAGTATTTACCAACATTTTTGCCTTTTCTCTGTCAGTAACTGCTGTTATTTCTCCTTCATTTAATATTGGATATCCACTCGTTCTTTTACCGGTAATCCCAGTCATCCTTTTAATTGTTGCCGACACCTTAGAAATATCTGTCTCCCTCCCTACTGAATTACAGAAACTTCTCCAATAATCTCTTTTTGTATTTGTAATAATTCTGCTTACATTTGCTTGTAATTTCTTGTAGTTATTCAGATTCTGAAAATTGTGTTTTCCTTTTAATAATTTGAAAGCTTTATTTTGTTTCTTGATAATCTCCTTACATTCTGATGTCCACCAGGGCACCAACCTTATTTCCCTTCCCCCACCTTTCTTCCTTATAGCCTGATTAGCAGCTTCTAAAATAGCATTATATATATAGAAACATTTATTTCATCAATATTACTACTCATATCCACTTTTAACATTTTCATTTCACTACTATTCCTAAAGGTTTCCCAATCTGTTGACCTAAAACACCATTTCTTTATCCCCTTTATACAATACCTTTCTATATTTAACTTTATTTCAATCAAATAGGATAATGATCACTTCCTATAGTCATTTTATTGATTACTTGCCATAAAAAAAACACCTGCTATAGAATTTTAAACTAATGTTAAATCAATTGCTGACTCTGTATTATCTCTAAAATTGATTCTGTTTCAACTTCCATCATTTAGACATACCAAATTTTTAACATCCATTATAGGGCTTGGGATCCGCGTTGCATTGTGGGACGTGGCGGCCATGTTGAGGGCTACGCAAACATAAACATAGCTCTGATACAACGTTGTTGTTGAACAAAGAGACGTAGAAGTAGAGAGAAGATGTTAAAATCCCAAAAAGGATCTGGAATTTACCGGGACACATTAAATAGAGAAGCCAGGGTTCCGTATGTTGACAAAATCAGCATTACTAATAATTTGGATCCATATGAAGTTCCAAACAATGAGTGGAGCACCGATGAGTGAGCGCCTATACTTCAAAACAGTTCCGAAGCTACAAGTCCCTGGAGTCTCATGTGCAGTTCATGAATGGATGGGTTCAGGAGCTGCAGATCATAAAGTCAGCAAACAGTGGGAACACAGTAATCCGTACAAAAGTCAGCTGTGCTCAGATGGGCTCTGGAATCTGCTAGTGTAGTAATTGCTAACCGTTAGTGCTAACAACCACTCACGCATGTAATATACTTTTAACTAGCTGCTATGTGTTTCAAAGGTGTAGTTAGTGACGTTAACTGCCAACCCTCCCTAAAACCTCCGGGTTTCTCACGTATTTGAGCCTTTTCCCGCTGCCGTTTTTATTATTTTCCCGTAAAAGATCCAAAACTTGAAGGAAAGAAACAATGTAGGCTATAAAATAAAATCGTGCATCTTTAACTTACCAGAATGAAAATGCAGGGAACACACTCTCACTGACATCGGGATACTGTGGAAAGTTATGTTCAGTCGTCCTATAGCCGCTATCCAAGCTAGCCGACGGCTCTTTATCTCTGACACTTGGTCTCCGTGGTTGCGTCTCCAGGCAGGAAAGCGGTGGAAAGTTAACCCATTTTCTATGTTTTTCCCATGGCGATCATGTGTTGTGCTGTTACAGCTCACAATACAGCAACGGTTTACCATGGTTGAAATCAAGTTAAGGTGAAATTAATCAAATTAAAACACGGCTGAGAGGGAGTACAGTACGTGGGAGTCATAGGCAGTAGTCTGAGCACCGGTAAAGGAGGCCATCAACATGGCGGCCACGCAAAGTAATTACGTCATGACGACCAAGCCCTATTTCTTCTATTATATCCCCATTATGGTAATTTTACTTCCTCTGGTTGTCACACAGAGACAAAGTACTGATTGGCCCATTTATTGCCCCCTGCTGGACTAGAGTCGAATAGCAGCTTTGCAGACTACTCTGAATCAGCCTCAAAACTACCATTAATGAAGCGGACATGCATTTTTTCAGTGTCCATCATCAACAGTTTGTTGAAGAGTTGTATTACAATACAGGGTTAGACATTGACTGACATTGTTGTAATTGAGGACCTCAGCAAACAAGACTTTGGGCTCCAAAGACAAATGTCAAACTTACACAGAACGATACAAATATCTTATGATTTAAACAATAATATAAACATGTAAATTTAATCAAATGTTAATAAAATAGATATTTTCAAACAAATTTTTACTTTTCTTATCTTGAAGGGTACACGTCTTGTTTAATATACCTGCTTCTTGATTAAATTATAATATCTTAAATAGAAATCTGCCAGAATAATTTTGGGTGAAACTTTATTTGATCACATTTGG